AGCCGTAAGGGAAAGATATCTACAAGATGCGCAAGTAAGAAAAAGGGAAAGAATGATGAAGTGCCAAAGAGAAAAGGTTTGAAAAAGCATATCAGCAGTGGAAGTTGTTGAGTTGAATATGTTTATCAAATATAGACATCCTAATGTTTCCCTTCGCTCGTCATTTATATCTACTTCCACAAGAGTTACTCGTTCAGAAGCGATTGTACGTCGAAGTAGACGAAGTTTGGCGCGGAAAGATTACTCCATGAAACAGGAAGATGATGAAATTTCATCGAGTTCATCATCAAGTGGTAGCGACAGCGAAAATCTGTCAGATGTGCTCAAATCTGAGGTGCTCTTCAGACCTGAAGATGTCGAATAATAACGATTACTTATGATTAAACTGCTGTCATTTAGGCAAGCAGTGAAGGCGTAGCTGCTGAGGGAGGAAATGCTTCATATGATAGTGATGAGAGCTTTGAAGTGGTTCCACAGAAACGCGCCAGAGGCTCTGGAAGCGGGAAGCAGTCGGGACGCAGGCAACCTGCCAAAAAGAAAGTTACAAAATAGCAATTGTGGTACCAAAGTATTTTGATTCTGTTTCAGGAGAACTAGCGCTGGCAGCTCCACAAAATCTCGCGCTTCAAATGGTTCTGGAAGTGCGTTTTTGACCTTTGAGCTTTGTAGATGTTTTCGGTCCAACCTACATCTTTAGCCACCAGGAAGTCGGCAAAGGCTTCGGCTGTTCCTGCACTCCCACGTGCTTCGAAACCAATCAAACCTTGGCAGAGAACTGGCGAACCTGTCGTAGAGGGCGATGTTGTTGTACCTCCCAGACCGCTTCGAAAAGGAGAGAAAAAAATGCTGAAGTTCAGGTGTGCAGTGACTATGTTTGCCACCCTTAATTCCATTGTGCTCAATGCAAAAATCCTAGAAAATACTTCCTAACGTGTAATGAAGCTAGTTGGATTGTTCTTGCGTGGCTAATTGAGAGAAGCAAACATTTAATTTTTTGCATTTTTCTTTGAACCCCAATAAAATGAACTCTATTATTTTTCATACGCAAGCATGGGCCGCGGAGCCGGGCTGTTGAAAATCGGCAATTGGCTCATAGTTAGAAAAGGTGTATTCCTTACTAAGACAGAAGCCAAATAGGCTAAAAAAATCCTTGGGTATCGGTCCTGAATCAAGAATTATATCAATACATCCCATAGCCTGATCCATTAGTTGTTTTTTTTATCACTCCTTCACTTGGAATTTTAAAACCTGTGCTCAAGTCGAAAAACATAGTTTGCTTCAGCACTCCTATAGCGTTCACAAGCCACCTGCGCGTTAGAGGATAGCAGTGAGCTCTGGTCTATTGATACATACATTTACTCTAATCTCTATGCGCACAAAATTTTTGCGATAAGCTTCTCAATTTTCCAAAGTTGTGCCAAAAAAAATCATGTGAATAGGTTCCATTCGAGTTGCATTTTTTGGCCAGTCAATGCAGAAAAGAGAAAACATGTTGTGTAGGGAATCTGGTTAGCATAGAAAAGCATGAAGATTAGT